CAAACACTCTCAAATAATGAAGTCACATGTGTAATGTTCTCCGCAAACACACACACAAACACACACATACAGATGCGACCCCAGTGGCCGTGAAGGACGTCAGATTCAATCTTGTCAGATTTCTCCACTGACGCTTGATGTATCAATTTTTAAGTAGCTGGCCTCAACTAACGCCTGGGTAGCCTACAAACACACACAGAAACACACACACACAGACAGACAGACAGGCTGCTCTGTGCTCCAGGAGCTGTGGCACTCGAGGGGTACTAGAAGGGTTCCATCTTGAAAGCCTGTTGCCATGGTGACCATTATGGAGCACATCTCCCGTGGGCCAGCAAGCTTTACACAACTTCCCTCTCAAAAGAACACACACACAACTCTTTACCCCCCACCCGTCCACAAACACACAGAGTTTTCTCCTCTTTCTGCCCTTTATGGTAAAGCCGGCAGGGAGCCAATGTTTGACTTTAGGCAAGTGCAACAGAGAGCAAGAGAACAGAGCAATTAACTGTTAAAATAGCAAGAACGTTTGAAAGGGAAGTAGAGGAGAGGAGCCAGGCACAGGAAGTGTTCAGAAAAGTGCAGCTGATGTCATTTTCCATACGTACAGAGCCGCCTGGTTGAATGTAATTAGAATGTAATGACTTTGACTATCAGATGTCGGGTTTTTGTTTCTCTGTGTGTGAGTCTGTTCGGGCCCTTTCCAACATTAACTGAGTACATTTACCGAACTCTTCCGGTTCAGTCAGCAGCTTCTGTCATTCACACAAGCAGCTCACAAACCTTATTTTTCCAATCCACACATAAATGTCATTCATCACAGCATACGTCACAACATTAACTAAAGCATAGCATACTTTTCTTCAGGACACCAGTGTCTATCTTTAATGCTACAGTCACAGCTCCGTACTAACAGTATAATTATACTTAACTGTAAAGTTTGCATTTGTAAAAGCACCTTATGTGTGTGTGCGCATGTAAGACACTTTGTACTCCTTCCAGTACAGTTAATTTTGGCTTTTTTCTCTGTCTAGGCTTGTTCAGCAGAAAGTGATTTTTTTTTTCTCATTTAACGTTTAAGTTCCATCGTCTAAAATGTGGAGATTTGTTGCTTTTCTTTGTTTTTCTATTTCTAAATAAGACTAACTGCACAGTGCAAAAGCAGACATTTGCTTTTCTTTTTTTCTTTTCTTTTGAAGCTACAACTTTAAAACACAACACCCTGTAAAGTTAGCATTATATCAAACGTTTATCTGCTGACAAATCCAAAATTCTTTTCAAAAAAATCTAGCAGACATGGAGCAAATTAGCATTCATTTGGTGATTTGGTGATTTGGTGATTCTGGTTACCTCATGAGTAAAATAGTAAATAGTGAAATAGTCCACAATTGACTATGCTTTTACTTTTGGTTTACTCTCCACTAACTCATGGGGCAAATATTTGGCACTTGAGCTGCTAAATGCTCCACTGTGTCTGTCTGCTGTTTGATGCAGGGCAGGTAGCTTACAGTCACTGCTATAAGAACTTTTTCAGATGAAAACAAGCAGCCTGCTGGAAATATGGCTGATGTGTGGTGAAGCTGTGAAGGTGTGAATCAGGTAAAAATCCTCTGTGCCTTCATCACAGAGTGACACCAATTACATTACATAGTCAAGTGACCCATTGTTAATATTGATATATTGATTAGTGTTGCTTTTTAAAGACCCTGTGCTTTGGGAAACCTTGTAAAAGGCTTATTTAACTGTTTTCAGACATTTTATAATCAATTCAAGTAGTTGCAGCCCTAAAAAGAATAGAATAGAATAGACTCAATCAGCTCATACAGCGTTCTCCCAAAGGAGACAGTTAGGCTGTTCCCTTCTCAATCAGTGCATGGTGACTGAGGGTGTGTCTTGAGTAGCAGTACTATATCATATCTAAGAGCTATCGATTGGCATAAATACACTAAGTCTCTCTGGTGACTGGATGAATATTTAATAAGACACTGGATCTGAGGCCACTCTTTGTCTTTAGAGGAAACACACACACACACACACCCCTATATACTGCACAGCACTGTCAACTGTCAAAAATGCAAATTTGGAGTTAGCTCATAGTTCTACTATGCAGTTTTTGTGACTAAACTTTTGTGCTCTTTGTGTCTGCTTTTTGTATGAGTGTACAGTATGTTTATGTGAGCACTGTCTTGTGGCCTCAGCCTTCTTGTCCCTTTTTTTATATCTATGGTAAATCATTAATCATAAGGGAACCAAGTCAAGTAACACATTTCCCATGGGGCAGACACAGGGAGTAACTTGAGAAAAAAAAGAGGCAAGAAAAGTGGGAGAGAGGGGAGAGGGGGACTCTGAGAGAGAAAGAAAAACTGGAGTGAGAAGGAGGTGGAAAAGCAGAGCAGAAAACAGCCGATCGGGAGAAGGAAGCTCCACTCGAAGCAGCCAAGCCGCCATTCTTGCAGAAAGTTTTTGATTAGGTGGTTGTTCGGACGCCAGGCCTGGCATGGGGTGCCCTGTCTGTCCTCTAGCGCCGGGGCCCTTTGTGCCTGTGTGGCTGGCCTGCGCCCGGAGCCAGGACTCTCCGGATGAAACGTCCCCGGAGAAAAGCGGCTTTTCCACCCTGCTCCTACATCCCAGCCAACAGGAACACACACACCCATACACAGTCACTTACACAACACATAGGCACCCTTTACCTTGGAAGCTGACAGCAAGGAGGAAAAAAAGCAGAAACCCTTTGAGAATTATCACTCCCTTTCCTTTCTTTCTTTCTTTCCCTTGTTCTCTCTCTTTCACACCTACACACACACATCCCTTTTCCAGTGTTCTCTCAGGTCTTTTGGGGATTGTGCTAGTGGACTTTGCTCCCCTATGATGAATGATTTGCCTAAAAATACTGTCTGTATGCGAGTGAGCACAGCGTCCAGGTGGAAGAACTTACCTCCACAGTGAGAAATCACACTACTTTTAGGCCACTTTCCCATTCCTCTATTTGCAGGTTAACCACGGTGTTGAACATATGAACAACGTGTGTACCTGTGGACGTGTGTGTGTGTGTGTGATAATTTACAGTCTTTCTGGGACGAGTGACGTGTAGCTTGATTAAATCCGTGACCTTCACCACCGGCACAAGCAATCAGCAAGCGAACACACGCTCGCTCACACACACTCGCCTGCTCACACACACGCCGCATACTTAACACCTTCTTGCACACAAACGCTCGGCACACGAAAATGCAATCAGCACCTGGCGGATTCTGTCGCATCATTGATCCAACCTATTCACACACACACACACACACACACACACACACACATATGCATACACACAGGGCATCTATCGAATTGCATTTGAGACACCCTCATTTTCCTTACATGGGGTTTTGTACACTGTAATACTATTTACCACTGTGGCAGAAAAGGCTAGCGAGGATAGGAATACCAGGCCTATGAATGTATAAATAAATACATGCGTAATCTATATTCAGATTACCAAAGGGAAAGTCAGGAATTCCATTTTACTGCCTAGGATGCAAAAGGGAAATCATTCAAGTCCCCAATCTATTTCAGCAGGCTGCTCCTGTTGAGCTATAGCACAGTTTTCCCTCCCCAGTTTTATGACTCCACATAATGACCAATATGCAGCCACTGTAACAGCCGTAGCAATAGTCATATTATGTTATTGTGATTATTGCTGTGACTGCAACTGTGTATTTTTGTTCTCCCGGTTGCCTGAAGATCTAAAGCTTATATAACAGGAATGACGGTTGATCTGCTGTTGCACTGTGTTATTGTACTGTACGGCCCTGTGGTTATAGAGGCCTTCAGCCTGATGTAAATGGAACTCACGTAGACCTAATGTCACAATATATCAAATCAAACTTTGTTTTCATGTTCTTTGCCATGGGTGCTGCACGGCACATTGTATGACCTATCAGTATCTATCTGTTGTATCTCTGTTGCAACATAACTCCCCATGTCGTTTTGTGTTTTTTGAACATTTTGTACCTTTTTGAGTGTGTCTTCTTCCTTAGACTCTCCTTTATTTCCACACAGACTTACAGGATACATCAGCTTTATTATTGTACAACCTTGGATTTATGTTTCTTGTAGTTTTGGCCATCATTTCTATTAGTTATGATATCACTGTACTCACCAAATTGAGATCTGGGGACCTGATATGGCAAGAAACACCAGCGTCGAGACAATAAGACAGGTTGTAAATAAGCCAACAATTTAGCTCAATTATTCAAACCACTTTATTTAGAGGTAAAGTGAATGCACCTGACAGGTCTGTAAAAATCTCTCATCGCACAGGAAAAAGTGTGTGGTAGCTACACTGGATCAAAGTTGAAAACGGGCAGTTTGGGAAATAATTTCATCCTTCTCCGTTTTTCCAATTAAGTTTGGCTACTCTGGAGGTTTGTTTAAAACCTGTCTGATCATCTAACTGCATTGTTTGCCTAATGACTACCTTTTAGCAATGTTCCTGTGTTCCCAGAGCTCAAGGAGTTACTTTACTAAGGGAAATGTTATGGTAACTAACAGAGTCTATCTACAAAAATATGACCCAACTTGTAATGAACTGGAATTATCCTATAAAATCAGTTTAACAGGGATTTCTGGCACAATGTCACCTACTTTCAGTGTCCACAAAGGGAAATAGTCTTAAAGAAAAAAACTCCAGCACTTTACAACAATGTATTGATTGTTATTATGAATTCTGTCCTGGCTTGCCTTCATTATACACACATAAATAAATACATCATAAACACAACAAATAACATTGCAATAAACTCTTTTTTAAATTATACAGCATTCCAGACCATTTCAATGGGATCTTGATTAAATGTTCTAACTTTATAAGTATTGCTGGAGTTTTGACCCCTTAAAAACATTTTACCACACTTGTCTTTATGCTTAATAATCCTTTAGTGGAAATTATATCATGTGTGGTTGAACCGGCACAGCTTCTAACTTTGTGTTTTTCTGCTTCCTCACTCCAGCGTGCAGACCTGGTACCTACAAAGCTTCGGCCACAGATGCCTACTGCACCAAATGTCCTCCTCACAGCTCGTCCTCGCAGGAGCAAGCCATCGAGTGTGCTTGTGAGAAAGGTTTCTACCGCGCTGAAACCGACCCACGATCCATGGCTTGCACACGTGAGTGATACAAACACTGACAAATATGCAAAGACCTGTGCATCTTATGAGCTACAAATACAGTCAAACAGTTGGAAGCTAATTTCATACCACATACTATACTATTTTGGCCTTTTATGTAATTTCATAAAATGGTGTTAAGTAACAATGATTGGATTACATTTAATTTACATTTGTTTGCAATGTATTCCTGTAAAAATTTCATTGCACGGCTGCTTCATATTTATTTGTTGTTCTAGCTATAAACCCTGTATGCATTTTCCTCTTCCTCAGCTGCTATTGCTTTACACAACACTGGAGATACATACATAAAACACACAGGCATAAATGTCTGTCAGCTGTGTGGTTATGGCCTACCGATATCTCTGATGGGAACACTGATATGGCTGATACTCTGGTAGAAATTTGATGATGTTTCTTATTCTTTGTCGGCCTCTCACGCGCGTGCACACAATCACACGCAGAGCCAGGGGGATCGGACCACATCCTCATGAACAGAGCGGAGGAGAATAGAAAGGATGAGGAGGGAAGATTGAGCGAAAGAGGGCGACAGAAAGATATGGATTGAGATAGACAAAGGGATGTGGGGGTTGGAAAGGCCAGTAACATGGGGGGTGGGAGAGAGTGACTGAACTAAAGGAATATGGAGGAAAAACACACATGCACACCTACACACGAGCATGCACACATACCCAAACCCATTATCAGGTTATGGTAGATTACACTCATTAATCGTTCTAGCAGGTGAGATGTGTAACGGTTGGTGTTATCAGCTAAAAATGAGTAACGGTTCATTCAAATATGTATGGGCGCACACGCATGCTGGTGAAGAGCACTGTGGAGGATGAAGAGGGCGAAAATGAGAAAATAAGGAGAAAAGGTGAAGGAATTAGCAATGGAGAGACACAGAGAAGGATACTTAAGACACAGGCAGAGAATAGAACAGCGGGGGAAATCGTGGACTATCAGAGGCATATAATCTAAATGTCATAAAAGACCGATCAGTAGAAACGATGATGGACAGTTAAGTGTGGCCTTGGGAAGTGGGGGGATGGACAAAAGAAAAAGATTAGCAGGATCAGTCAGTGCACCCTTTCAGGAGATTTAGGACAGACAGCCTCAATTATCCCCAGCATGGCCTCTATCCCCCACACCCAGCTTTCCCCCATCCCTCCTGCACTTCAGAGAGGTTCTACACGGGGAAGTCTAATCAGGAAAGTCCCAGGCTCTGCTGGCGGCCCCCTGGGGCTCACTGCTTAGCTAGGACCTGATGAGATGTCAGGCTGAATGGGCATCTATTGCCATATTTCCATATGGTTTAGATACCTGTACAATGCTGTGCTGTGAGCAACCATAATCAGTGGTTACCATAAGGTGGTTCCCCATACAACAGGAATGGAATGGTAAATGCTTACCATGTTGGGGGAGGTTTGTGGTTTGTTCAAACAGTTGTTCCTGACCATTTTTAAAATTGAATGAAAAAGCAATGAATGCCAATGAAAACGTACAGAAAATGGTCCAAAATGTGGATGTACTGATTTACTGAACAAGAAGTGAGAAGTTAACTTATGTGAGCACCTACAGTACCTGCTTCACAATAGAGCCATGTTCAGACAAACAACATGCAGCCCCCTCATTTATTTGAATGGGACCGCTACGTTAACACAAAAAGGTTTCCAATGCAGAGGGATCCAGCAAAAACAGAACACAATGTTTATCCAGCTAAAATGCTAAACCTAGCAACGCAATGCAACGTGATCCTGCAGGATGCTGCAGTGGCCAACTGAATACATGAATGGGCACATTTCTGGTAGTTCCCTTTGTAATGTGAAAGCGATATTTCTGCTTTTTACCTCACAATGGTCACAATGAAAGATAAACCACTGCGATAACTTTCATGAGTCCTGCTGTTTTTGGTGTCTAATAAGCCTTCAAACTCAT